GCGCGAGGTCCGCCCTGCTCTTAAGAAAGGAGCCTATCTCAGCAGCAGATTGCAGCGCCTCCTACTGCGCATGTGCTACCCTCCCACGCACGCACGCGCACTTTGACAATAGTGGTTCCCTAGCAGTCCTCAGCCTTCCTTCCCACTGACCCAGAGCACTGGCCACCGTGGCCGAAGCTCTCACTCTACATTCCTCACCTTGCGCCCACTTTTCTCCCGAGGGCCTTCAGCCGTTATTTCTGCGGCAGCGCCTCTCCTTCGAGGCGGCCCACACCAGCAGGAGCAGCCGCCATCTTTTCGGAAGCCCCCTCCTTTTCCGCTCCTGCCTCACGCAGGCTCAGTGACTTATGGCCAATTTGTAGAATCAGACCTTAGAGGAAGAGACTAGAGTGAGTCGATTGCTCTGGTTTTACCTAACCTCCACACTCCTCTCCAGATTTCCCTCTTGGAATACTTAGCCATCCTTATCCACTTGTGCCGATTCTTCAAGAGCAAATGCCTTGAGAAACATTCCCTGAGCCGGATGAGGTGGTGCACGTTTCTAATTCCAGCACTTCAGAGGCTGAGGCATCAAAATTATGGGGTTGGGTTCAGTCTGGTTACATAAGATAACCTTGTCTTAAAGCACCACTACCAGACAAACACCCAGAAACCTTCCTTGGCCACTGTCAATCTCATCTCACTCTGAGGCCAGCCTGTCCTTGCTCTACAGACAGCAGCAGCCAGTGGCACCTCCAACTCGCCTGATGAGTGGTTGCTCTTAAGCCTCGATGTCCACTCTCTGCCTCAAGACCTGCTGAGTTCCAGACCTGGCTGCATGGCCTTTTCCTTTGAACTCAAGAATGATCGTTCATCCCTTTCTGGAGCTGCAACATAATCAGGGCTGCCTTCCCTGCATTCGAGCAAACAGCAACCAGGGTCAAATCAGAGCCACAGTATAGAAAGAGTTCTGAGGTCTGGCTGATCTCATCAGCAGAGGATGCCAGACCCTGGCTTACTGTCCCTCCTTACTGGCAGCTTTCTCCCTGGAGCTGGCTCTCGGGTTCCTGGGATCCAGCAGTAGTGTATACCCAGGACACAAGCAAATGGTGACAGATTCGCTATGAACCATGTGGACTTTGTTCACATTTGTAAAGACTCCCTCTGCATACTGAGCTCCACCTATCCTGGCCCACATGTGGCTCCCAGTCACACCAAGGGTAGGGACAAAGGAATAACTCATGTGATCCTAAATGGGGCCCTAGTTCCTAGGCTTCCTAGTTGTGGAGCTCACAGTTTGGGTCAATCTCTGGCTCCTTCTCATCCATCATAGAATCCCTCCCTGAGGGTGGAGGCAGGAAAATGCTGTCAGTCTTTGTCACCCCAGTCCAGGTTGCCTGGACTCAGCTTCCCACAAACCTCAATATAGGAGGGTACCCAAGGAAGGTACCCTGGCTTGGTCTATATCTGAAGTCACACAAGTCAGATGGTGAGAAGGACTTTCTGGCTAAGGACAGAAGCCTCCAGTGTCTTTTCAAGGAAGAAAGGGCAGGCCCCAGCTCAGATGGTATCCTCAAGGGCTCTTGCAGAAGCTGCAAGCCCTGACCTGAGTGTTCCAGGGCAGAGGATGGAGAAGGTTGGCTTATGTGTCCACTCCTAACACCATGCACTCTTTACTCCTGGCTGTGTGCAGGCCTCCTCACCTGCACAGCATGCTAGCTAGCCTACTTGGTTTTCACCTTTACCCCTCCATCCACCTCTCCCAGATTTGCCACCATGCGCCCTCTGGTGGGCTGTTCCCTCCTTCCCTTTGTGGGTCTGCCTGCTGGGCTGCCAGCCTTTCCACTTTCTAGCTGACCCCAACTCATAGATCACTCACCGCTTTGAACCACTACTGACCAGATCTACTTCCTGGTTGTTTCTCCACCTGTACTGTGCAAATCTATGAACTGAGAACTCATGAACAAGCCAGAAGGAAATGCTCCAGCTTCTAAGTAGTGACTAAGAATGAGGGAGACTGGGGCTGGAGAGATGGCTCTGTGGTTAAGAGCACTGACTGCTCTACCAGAGGTCCTGAGTTCAATTCCCAGCAACCACATGGTGGTTCACAACCATCTGTAATAGGATCTGACGTCCTCTTCTGGTGCGTCTGAAGACAGCAACAGTGTATTCATATGCATACAATTAGAAGCCCTCAGCTCAGAAACTGTAATGTCCTTATTAGCATCCAACCTTAGGTTGTATCCCATTTTTTCATCCCACTAATACCAAGTTCCCAATTTAATCACAAACATATCTGAAACCATACTATGCTTTATTCATGCAGAGTCCCTTAAGCCTAACTGTATGTTCCCTAAAGTTGAACTGGTTTGGACTCAATCTGATTAATCCACTGATCAAAAGGTATCTCTTGCTGGCTGGTGACCACTGCCCTTAATCTATAGTTGGGAGGCAGGACTGTCAGAAATTCCTCAGGCCAGCTTGGTCTATGTACAGTGAGGCCCTGTTCAAAATAAACTTTTCACTTCTGTTTTCTATTTCTATAAGGTTGCTTTTGGTTTTCCTTGGCATTCTGTACCTGTATTTATGAAGAGAATAGAAGTTGTTTATTTCTGGACTCCTTGGCAGACTAGTACTCTTTAACATAAAAAGTACATAATAATTTGGACTATATCAAGTAAATATTAAAAGACCGATTAGTAGGCAAGGAAATAAGCAGAAGGAACTGCAGAAAGAGTCAGAGGCTTAAAAACAAACCATGTCACAGCACTGCCTTGCTTTCTTTGCTGGTAACTGTTTTGCAAGCTTGAATTGAAGCTCCAAAAACTTAAACTCTTCCTAGACAACCCTCCTGACCGATTTCTCTGTGTAGCCCTGTCTTGAAACCTGCTCTGTAGACTGGCCTTGGAACTCAGATTCACCTGCCTCTGCTGAGGCTAAAGGTGTGTACCACACCAGCTTTGTTTTGAAACCATTACAGCATCTGACCCTGTTCTGGGTCTATGAGATTTATCAATTAATGAACCTTAGACTGTACTCATGTGATCTTCCTGCTTTCGACGCATGAGTTTTATCCACATTTTTCAGTTTACGTAGAAATTCAGTTACTCTTGAATAGCCAATGAATCAAGGATGAAATCAAAAGGGAAATTAACATTTCTTTACATATATAAAAAGGAGACACAACAAATACCATGTGATATAGCAAAAGCAGTACTAGAGTCTGCAGGACACAACATGCACATAGAAACACAAAGCCAAAAAATAAAGTAGAGTATCAAATGAACATCTTTTTAACATCCTAAAGAAATAGGAATCAGGAAATGTGCATGGAACCAAGAGACTGTGATTGTCAGTGTTAGAATAAGGCAGAGACTACCTGACTAGGCGTGCTTCAACTGCACCCAGACACGGTACAGAGAACCCATACACAACTGCAGATTAACAGCCAACTCATTTTTTCAAAGGTAGAAACGTTTCCTGTGAAGAAACTAAGACCACCTCATCAATGATACCAAGAAAACTTAACATCTACAGGAGAAAGAAAAAACCAAACTAGATTCCTCCCACTAATTATGAAAACTGTAGAAAAAATGGCTAAGCATTAAGACTTTGAATTAGTGATAAATTAGGCAGAGGACAGAGCTGTGGTGACACATGCTTTTAATCCCAGCATTTGGGAGGAGGGAGATCTCTGAGTTCAAGGGCAGCCTGGTCTATAGAGTTCTTGGACAGCCAGAGAAAAACATGGAACTCCTGTCTTGAAAAACAAAACAAAAATAAGAAAAAAGAAAAAGAATTAGGTTAAGTGTTAAAACACTTTTAGTACAACCTTTGGGCAAGGGCACTCTGAACTAGTGTAAGAATTCCAAACCACAAAGCAACACTAGAGCAGAAAAATTTATCCACAACCAGGAACAATGACAGTACCTTGTAAAGGCTGGCAACAAACAGGACAGGCAGTTTAGTAGCAGAGTGTCCTATGGCTAAGCATGGTGAGTTTGTCTTTAATCTACAAACTGAGGCCAGCCATCTCTATAGTTGTATACTAGGACAATTTTGAGATACTGTCTCAAAAAACATAAGCAAGGTCAACCCTTGTCAATTACCACAAAGGAAAATGCAAGTATGCACCAGTAAGAATTTAGAAAGTAAAGCTCACTTAGTCTCAGCACTTGGGAAGCAGAGGCAAGTGGATTCAAGATAAACCCGATATAGAGAAACCCTTTCTCAAAACTAAGAAATCGGTGGAGAGGCCTGGACAAATGTAGTCATGGCATTGTGTTTCAGTTTCACAGGAAAACCTGATAATGTGCACAACTGGTAGTGCACATTATAATGTGGTAGTTAAGAGATTGATATTTGTGCATTCACACTTCGAAAACTCAACTTCCGTGTAACATGTACCAGGGCACTCTGGTTAATCTTCTGACACAAAAAGAACTGAAGAAATATTTGCAGTAGAATTTTTACTGCAGCACTTCCCAGTAACCACTGCGGGATGAATAAGGAAAAGCTCATAACCAATTTTAAAATCACAAAAATGTTGAATTGCTGCTTTACATTATGGTTGCATTCTCCGTTCACTCTGTGTAAGTGTGTCATAGTTCATCCATAACCTTCATAGATTTGAAACACTGTGTCATAGTCATGGATTGTCAAAACAATCCATTTACATACAGCCCACACCAAAAAAAAAAATGTACAAGGCTCAACACTGCAGGCCATACCAGATGCTGTCCTGCTCATTAGACAGATAATCAGGGACAGCCAGGGACATATAGACCCCATCTCAAACATCCCAGTACTAATACTGTGCACTTTCTTCTTGTCTCTCCCTTTTCTGGATATTTACCACACCAAGTTCTCATTGTCAGAAGTTGCGTCACTGGCCAGGGGTGGGGGTGGGGGACCACAGGCATTATGTTACTCCCAATATTAAAACAGAACACAACAGTTCTTTGTAATGGTCCATCTCAGAACCCAGATCCGTAACTTTGGTTTTTCAACAGGAATTCAGATTCAGGATAGGATCATCGTAGACTAGACCAATGACATTATGTGCAGCAGAAAACAAAGCAAAGCACCACTCACATGCTTTCATGCTGTAGGATCTTTACAGGCGACAGGCATTCACTGCTGGCAGAAAGAAGTACCATAACATGCTATGAGTAAGAACTGCATAAAAAACAAGACTATTATTTCACTTAAACACAATGGTCTTATCTCAGAAGCTGTTTCTGTCTTCAGGTCATTATCTTTGGGAAATAGTTCATCACTGTTCAGACCACTTATGTCTCAGAACTGTTAATCAATTTGTACACTAGTCATTCACTACAGCCATTCCAAATTAATAAGGCCAGAATAGGAGAAGCTGCAGTAGTTGGTCAGCATTATTTCAGAGTTCATTAACATACAGGAGGCTGCTTCTTATTTCACAACGGTAAAAATATAAGCTGACAAAAATGTAAATCCAGGTTTCATACACAGCTTTTAAAAGATGTCTTAATCATGTTACTTTCTGTTATGAATTTTCTCGGATACTTTGGACTCCCCTCCATCTAATGAGAAGAAACAAATATTAAGCATCACATGCCACTTCCTATTGCTCTAAATCTTCAATTAGAAAGCTGAGCTGTACCGCCCTTACCTTGGTTGGTTTTTTTGCAACTGCTTTGACCACACAAAGAATGATGTCGCCACTGTCCTTGTGGAAGGATTCATGTTCATATAATTGGATGTCTCTTGGGTGGCACTGGTACCTTCCAAACAGCACAAAAGGCTAGCATATTTTTCTGAAAACCCAGCTGTGTAAGAACCCACCCACGCGGGTAGTAAGGAATCAGAACACATGAGGCCTTCAGCCAGGCCGCAGGTCCCAATCTCCTCAGGGTCTAGGATCCAATCCCAAAATCTCTGTAGCTGCTGCGCTTTTCTCCGAGGAAATTTACACAGGTTCCCTAAGCTCAAGTCACTGGAGGCTGCTCCACATAACAGGACCCTCCAAATTCACTGTGCGCCCCCACATTTCGCTTGGTCTTCTGGCCTACTAACAGGCTCACCTACAGAAAAATGCTAACCCTCAGCTTTCCTGGGCAGCTCCCTTTATAGCATTGGTGGAGCAGGATAGAGGCTGCCCCTCCCTCTTTTCCCGATTGGACGAGAGTGGAAGTGGGGGCGTGGCCTTTCCTGAAGCAATGGGTGGAAGAGCTGGAGTCTTTTCTTCCAGGACATTCCAGGGCGTGGTGTGCGACGCCAGCTGTCATGTGCCTGTCCATTCCTGCGCATGCTCTGCAGTCTCACCAGCAGTCCTGTCTTCCGAATCTGGCAGGCTGCTCAGCTCTACTTGGTGTGGGATCAGCGCCAGAATTCAAAGGAACAGCCACTGCAGCTGGAAGCAAGGTCACTGCCTGCTTTGAGCCTTGTAGGCCGCTGGGCTTGTTCTTGACCTCAGCCTAACTGTAACCCCGGTCGGTGGCAGGCAGCATCCCATCAGAGAATGATTCCACTGTCCTGCTTTCTACTGGGTAACATTTCAGGATTTTGAAATCATGTGACTGCCCCTTCCTCTGCAGCAAGGCCTATATCTCCCATGTTTAACGTGAAGGAGACAGGTAAGGAGGGAAAGAAGGGGAAGGAAAGAAACAGAGAAAAGCAATAAAAGGGAGGTCTAAAGAGAACAGGAAGAATAGACAGACTCCATTGAGAAATGAGAGCCTAAGAGAAGAACTAGGGATGTAAAGTCGATGGACCATATTCAGGGGCTGAGAAACACAGAATACAATCATTTCATAGATGCTTGGAAGACTTGCAAAGACAGCAGGAGGAGGGAAGCCTAGCTTTAGGTAAGAATTTATTCAGTAGAATAAACCAGTGAGCTGAGAACTGATGAATCCAGTTTCATAATCAGAAAAAAATTATACCTAATGAAGAAATCCACAGTGGCCTAGGCCCTGTTTGGAAAGAGCTAATCTCTGAAGACTAAGCTAAAAAAAGCCACTGTCCTAATCTAGGACTTGCTGTGGGAGTGTGTCCACAAGGACACACTGA